CTTGCCCTTTCAGGTAAGGACCAGAGACCCACAGGTAGGGGCTTCAGAAAAAGGGACAGTGCTAAACAGTGTGGAGGTCTTCTTCTTAAATCCTAAACCTCAGGGTCCAGCCACTCTTCTCCGACGTGACCGAGGGTGACATTGTGATGGTGCTTATGGTTTGTTTAGCGTTTTCTTTTTTTGGAAACCAGGAAAATCTTTCAACAAATGGATTGTTGACATTACATGACAATGAATGGCAAAAATCTTAGTATCTATATTCCCAGACTTTCTGACCACCCCATGGAATGTGTCTTTGGAACAGAAAAATAAATAAAAATTCCATTTTATCACAATCACAAGCTGTCATATTTAAGCAGGGCACAGCTAGTGAACATTTTCTTGAATCTCACAGGCTCCATTCTCTACTCTATTTATAATATGCTTCACTCATAGGAGGAAAACGCTATCTACATCAATATTTAGGAAGATTTTCTAAACCAACACACACACACCAGTGGTGCTGGGGCTCGAACCCAGGCCTTCATGCTGAGCTATGTCTCTTTGCTTTGAGTCAGGATCTCAAGGAGTCACTAAGTTTCCCAGGCTGGGCTAGAGCTTGTAGTCTTCCTGCCTTCGCCTCCCATAGCACTGGAATAACAGGCCTGCACCACCACAACTGCCTCACTTTGTTGTCTTGGATAAAAAATGTAACTCTTCTCTTAGTCCAGTAATTCTGTTTGGTCTTATTACTTTTATACAAAAGAGGTAATCTTTGAACATTTATGTAGATGAATAGGAGAATATTTCACAAGTGTTGTCCCCCTCTAGGATCCCCTAAAGGAAGCTTTTATTCACAATAAAAGAAAGGAGTAATATGATCCCATAGGAGCCAGACCAGCTCTCGAGTAAGACCCTCTGCATGCTCAGTGCGACATTCAGTATGGTCCCCTAGCTCTTGGTCCTTGGAGGAATTTGAGGGAGATAAAAGCAGTAACTACCTGTATTATCTAATAGCCTATGTATCATAGCCTAGAAACAAAACAGATGTACAAAGTACAATCTCAAAAAAAGTAGAAGCTGAATCCTTTCGTCCCAGGATGGGTGAAGAGGGGGAATTCCGAGGAGCATGGGAGCAGGGAATAAGGTGTTGCTCCAACCAGAAAAACTGAAGTGTCGGGCGCAGCACACAGTACCAGAGACGCAGCCACCAGGAGGGGCACAGCCTCCACTCCACTGTCATCAGGCGGGTGCAGGAAGCGGGACAAAACCGGGCGAGCCCCCTTGGGCTTCTCAGACGGACGGGTGCTGCAGTCCCACAGCCTGGGGAGGATGGGGAGAACCAGAGGCCACCACCTTCAGGGGTAAAAAGGCTACTTAGCAACAATACAGCCCTCAGAACCAGCCCGAGCCAGAGTAAAGCTGAAAGGCAGCCTGCTTGGCTTTCTGGTGGAGGGCTTCACACATGCGCAGTCGCCTTCTCTGCGCAGGCAGAGGAGAGCCCCTTGGGGAACACTTCCACTTGCTAGCTCTCCTACCAGTTCACCATTCACTACAGAAGAAGCTGCAAGCGATCCCAGCTAGCTTCTCATTTGGACAGGGCCCCAAAGACACACACGACCACATGGCTGACCTCTGCCGCAGCGAAGGCTTCTTTTCCTCACCTGCCAGACTAAAGGTTCACCTGTGAGGTCCTGTCCGTACTTTGTGGCAGTCAGAGCCAAGTGCTCCACTCCTAACAAAGCCTTGGACAACCCTCTACTCCCTGCCTGTGGCCCCTGCACCTCCCTGGCTCCTTCTTCCCCCGTGCTCACTTGCTCCTCAGCAGTGCTGGCCTCCGCTCTGCTTCTACCTCAGGGCTCACGCTGTCCTCCTACCTGGACTGCTGCCCTCCACATTCTCACCTGTCTCCCTCAGTGCCTTCAGCTACCTCAGTGAAGCCTTTGTGGCCACCGTCGCCGAAAGGTGGCCTGGCTTGAATAACCTTTTTCCTACCTTATTTTTTTTTCTGATCACTTGCCATTGTCTAAATACTTAGATTTTACTTATTCATGTTGTTTTATTGTCTGTCTCCCTCACTAGAATATGAGTTCAACGTGGGCAGGAATTCTCTCACAGGACCTAGGAGAACACCCAGCATGAGGCAAACAGGCAGTTAATAAGCATGCATTGCAAAAATAAATGAACATTGTGCAACAAAGGTTTGGTTTTGCTATTATCCTGAGAAAGAAGCAGATTGGGTGCCTATCACAAAATATTTGTTAAATGAATAAAAGGAAGATGTGAAGAGTGGATGGCTCATCACTGCCTTTAGAAAAGAGCAGGAATTCCTTCTCCTTGCTACCACCCCCAACTCACTTCCCACCTTCACTGCCGGCCTCTGTCCTCTGCCACATGGGAGCCTGTTTCCCTGAGCACTGAGGCCTCTCGCCATCAGGCTCCCGTTCCTGGGATGCCCTCTATCTACCTCCTTCTGAGCTTAGACGCTGCTTGTCTTTTCAGGACCAGCCCAGCACCACCTCTCCCAGCTGCAGGCCTCTTGACCTCCCCTTAATTCCTCCTGCACTGCATGGCTCTTCTCTCAGGTACTGAGGTCCCAGGTGCCTGCTCACCTCCCCCACCATCCTGAGACCCCTTGGCGACCAGGGGCCAGGTGTGTCTCGTTCACAGTCCCTACCACCCCTGGCCCATAGACAGCTGCAGGTACGTGGAGGGGAGAGGTTAGGGGTCGGCCGTGGTAGATGGGTGGGGGCATAGAGGAGATCAGGGGGACTCCGTCTCAGATGGTCAGATTGAGCCAGACTCCGAGAGCTGCTGCCATAGCTGTAGAACAAGCTGACCTGCGCTAGAGATATTGGAGAGAACGCAGGTCTTTGGGTCAGAGAGCCAGGGCTCATTTCTTGGCTAAGTCTCTATACACCATTCATTTAACTTCTCCAAGCCTTGATTTCTTTTTTTACAAAAACATTCATGTCAGAAAGATATTATGTACGTGAACGAATATCATGTCTTAAGGGGGAAAATTATAAACCAAAAAACATTATCCAAATGCAAATAGGCAGGTGTTCTAACTTCGGGGATGAAATCAGAAAGACTGCAATTCAGGTTGTGGCCAGTGGGTGGCAGCAGCAGGCAGGAACTTTGTCCGAGGTCCTTTGAAATAAAGCAGAGGCTGGAAGGGGATGGTAGATGGTTTGCGCGGCCTGGGCTGAGCAGTCTGTTTTCTGCCCAGCTCACCTGATGGTGAAGAGGCTTCTCTTTCTCTTGGTGTGGGAGCTGGTCGTGGCTGAGCCAAACCTCAGAAGCCCGCCCTTGAGAGACTTTCCAGATGTTTTCACGGCGATCCTCAGCATCGCCATACTGTCCTGCATTTTCGGTCTGCCGGGCAGGTTTTCCACGGGTGACCTTAGCCAGTCTTTACCATAAACTTCCCGACTAAAATGAGCGAATGAACTTATTCCCCTCCCCGACCTGTCCATGTGAGGTGTGAGGAACCTGAGGCCCAGAGGTGACTCTGAAGGTCACACAGAGAGCCAGAAGGGCAAGTTAGAATTCCTCGTTCAAGCCGGGGGTTAATCCCGTTACACCACCATGCTGTCGCTTTTCCTGCTCGATGGCTCACACCACCACCTTTGGGGGGCTCTGCTCTTTACAGGGGAGCTGCACAGACCTCCAGCCACCTAGGCCCTGGGGACTGCTCCTCTGGCCTCCGGAGATGTCCCGCATCTGCTTTTCCTCAGGCCAGGCCTCGGGGTACCTTCCTCTACTCGCGGAGTGGCCAGTGCCTCTTCAGAGTGCAGGCTGGCTTTCTAGCCAAGCAATCCTGAGAAATAACTGGGGGAAGGACTGCTAAATAAATAAATAAATCCTTAAAAGTTTCTAGCCGTTAATCTTTTTGGGTATTTGGGTACCGGGGATCGAACTTGTGACCTTGCGCTTGCGAGGCAGGCACCGGAACCACTGAGCTAAATCCCCGGCCGTTAATCTTCTACAAACACAAGGCTGGGCATGGAACCAGTAGACAACATGCTAGGCAAGTGCTCTGTTACTGCTCCGCACCTCCAGCCCCTGCTTCCTGCCTCCTTGCTGGTCTGCAGCCTCTGAATTCCTTGCTAGAAAGCATTAGGACTCAGCGACTGAGCTTTCCCTGCTCTCTCTGTGGGGAAGCGTCTCTCTTTCACCCTCTCCCTGCTCTCTTTGTCCTCCATCTCTGCGGTTTTGCATTCCACTTTGTTCCCTGAGGTCAGCTGTGGTCCAAGAATAGTAAATGGGGAATTCTTGATATAAACATTTCATGGGTTTTACATACCTTTCTTTACAGTATATTGTCATAATTATTTTATTACTAGGGATTGTTAACCTCTTACTGTGCCTGATTTATAAATTACACTTTATCATAGGTTTATATGTATGTGGAAAAACAGCATATTCAGGGCTGAGGGACACAACTTCCCTCCCCATGAGGAGGCTACTGTAGCCCTATCAGAACTGTAGGGACAAACAAGGAGACATGCTGACATTTGCTGAGTCCCCCTCTCAAAGCTGCTTTTTCTATAATCATGGATTGCACAGCTAGGGACAGGTGTGCTTGTTGTCCTTCTCTCCAAAGTATTTACCCACGGGGGACTTCCAGGCTGAGGGACGCTCCTCTTAGAACTCATGTGTCACCCAGGAACCGTCACTATAGGTTGGTTCTGTCCTCTGCTGTGTGGAAGAAGAAGAGATAACTGTGTGTCTCAGAGACAGCTCTGCTCAGAGAGGAACGGGCTGTCAGAGAGGAACATCTCTTCTTGCCACAGAATGTGACCTGGTGGCCCATTATAAGAGGCTGCTATTGTGAGGGGACCAAGTGCAGCGCCTGGCAGTGTCAATGCCAGGAACCCGGTGAGCTGCAACTGTGGCTGCTAATGTGACACCGAGATACAAATGTGAGATACAAAGATACAAAACTGTGGCTGCTAATGTGACACCAACACGGTGTGGCCCCTGAGGCCGGGGTAAATGTCAGCTTTTGGTAAACAATGCTACACTCTTGGCTGCTGCTGGGAGTTTCTCCCCAGAGTTTGCGGGGCTGCCAGGGGGCCCAGAGAGGAGACAGTGATGCAGCACGGTGAGTCAGGGCTTAGTGGTCACCTCGGGAGAGGGGCAGGAAAGGCAGAGGAGGCAAGGACAACACCGATGAGGTCCCAGGAGGAAGCAAGAGGGTCCCAGAGTTCGGAGCACAGGTCGGTGGAGCTGGGGATTAGGTCTGGCTTAGCCAACAGGGGCAAGTACGCTCCTTACCTCTCCGGGCTCAGGACCCTCAGTTGAATGGTGGACAGGAGATCAGATTCCCTTTAAAATTTCCTTCTCTTCTAAAATCCCTCAGTTTAAGAATTCCAGTTGGATGTGATCTATAGAAACTTATTTGAACACAGGGGAGAGAAGGAAGTGGGGTCCGGACCTTCAGTATTTCATTCAACCTACAAGCAAGTGAAGCATCCTGACGCATCCAAGCCATCCTCTGAGATGGCTTCTTCCTCCTCCTCCTCTGCTTCTTCTTTTCTTCCTGTTAGTCTATCTCTCAGAAACTTCAGTGAGGGGGGAAGAGAGTCAATGGAGATCTGGGAGATAACCCTCAGCCCGAGGTGAGGGGGTAAAGGGAGACACCGGGATGAGTCATGGACCACAGGTTCCCCGAAACGCACACACCGGAAGGTGGGAACTGTATCCACCCTCAGTGCTTGGCGCTGCTACAAAGCAGGGTGGGGGGCAGTAGAATGAAAAAGAATTTAATTGAGAAGCCACATATGTTCAAAGCAGAAATGTTAGAATAGCCACAGTAACCGAGGACAATGGAAAAATAGCCATCATCCCACCACCGCTCAGGAACCCCCATCGAAGGACACACACCCAATGTACATGAGAAACACAGTGAGGTTCCACTGTGTACTATGAAGCAACCAGAGCACACCACCCCAAAACATGCTTCTTTGCAATAGGAACTGTGTTGAGTTAAAGGCCATTTGAACCAGCAGAAGCAAGAAAAGCTCTAAAATGGGGCACAAAGTTTTCTTTTGTAAGAGGCATGTGCATTATAAAGGGCACAGTCATTTGTAAAAGGTGCCACCCTTTCCTGTGTCAGGAAGAGGCAGACTCTCAATGTCCATCAGCTGCTTAATGTGCACAACAGACCTATCACTAAACAGCCCTTGGTTTCCTCCTTTCCTGGGTGTCCCATGACTTGTCCTCCCCACCCTGAATCCCTGCCCCCTTCATTTTTCCTTAGCCTGAGATGATGTACAAGCCTGAGCTCTACCCATCTGTTTTGATTACTCGTCCATGGGTGGTACCATGTGTATGTAAAATGTACATGTTCATGAACTTGTGTGTGCGTGGTGCGTGTGTGTGTGTGTGTGTGGTGTGCGTGGTGTGTGTGTGCGCATGTGTGTGTGTGGTGGTGGTGGTAATCTGCCCTTTGGCAATAAAATTACAGGGCCAGAGAATCTAAGCTGGGTATAGAAAAAAGATATGTTTTTCTTCCTTTCATTCAATTGTGCCTTGTTTTTCCATATTTCACAGGTTGTCCAAACCATGATTTACCTGGCTTTTTCTTAGACATTTAAATCATGTCCAATTTTGACTTCATATTACAGTGTACAAATTTATAGCTAAATCTTAGTTCAGACCCTCCATAATTTCCTTATGAAAAAAACTCATCCTGTGGACCTGTTAGGTCAAAAAAAAAAGAAAATATATATATATATATATTTGGTACCGGAGATCGAACTTAGGACCTTGTGCTTTTGAGGCAGGCGGCGGCACCACTGAGCTGAATCCCAGCCCAAAAATATTTTTGATGCTTCTGATTCACATTGGCAGACTGCTCACCAGAATTTGGGGTATTTGCATTTTTTTTTTTTTTTTTTTTGGTACTGGGGATCGAACTTGGGACCTTATGCTTGCAAAGCAGGCAGTGGAACCACTGAGCTAAATCCCTGGCCCCAGTATTTGCATTTTTACTAGCCTTCTACAAGAATGTCCATTTTTATCATCATTAACACTGTATTTTTTGTTTTTTAAGTGAAAACTGTATCTATGTTAAAAAGGACATGTCTTTATTAATATATTAACCACGTTAATGACTTCTAACTTAAAGCTCTTCTTAGGGAAAAGTTCACAGGTCTCCAAGCCCTTTCTTTGCACCAGAACTGTATGGCACTTTTAGGCCAAACTGCCATTCACAGTAGAAGCCTCATAGAGATGCACTGTACAAACTTGTAATGCAGAGAGGCAGATACCTGAGTGATTACTGTTTTACTTCACTCCTACAATGGAGTTGATTTCCACACAATGTAATCCCAGCATTCAAGAGGCTGAGGCAGGATGATTTCCATGACTTCAAGGCCTGCCTGGGCTACATAATGAGACCTTGTCTCAAAAACAAAACAAAACAAAACAAAGAAGAACAGAAAGCTGCTCTCGGAGAGCACTTGCTCCATGAAAACGTAAGAAAAGTTATCAGCACATTGACAAGAGGGGAAGGCAACCTCCCCTAAAAGCTGAGGAGGTTAGAGGGTTACCGGCACACAGCTGGCTTTGGACGGGTCGCTGGTGACTTGGCCACTTAGAAGTAGGGGAACCACATGCCAATGATCTCTCAAAGTCCACCTATACTTTAGGAAAATTGTGTGTCATAAGCATCCTTTATTTAAAAAAATTATTACAAAAATATGTGTCCTTTACCAAAATTTCCAACTTCATAGAAGTTGATATAGTAAAAAAGAAAGTTTTCATGTAGATTTTCAATACAAATCTGGAAAGGCAAGCACCACAAAAAGTTCACCATTCGGCCTGGGATTTAGCTTAGTAGTTTCGCTACCTGTTGCGCAAGCGCAAGGACTCGAATTCGATCCCCGGTACCAAAAAAAAAAAAAAAGTTCAGCATGAGTGGGTGGATATTTTCCACACATCCATTAATAATAATGTAGAACAGTATAGTACATTGTAATATGACACAATATAATATATGAAAGGGGTTATGTTGTTTTGCAAGTTGCTCTTTTCACATGATTTTCCGAAGGCATCTTTCCATATCTTACTTTTAAAGTCGGCTTCATTCTATTTTGACTGTCATGCAATATTTTATAATTTGAATATATCATAATGTCTTATTTGTAATTTTACTATCAAAATGATAAATAAACATCCTTGAATTGAATTTTTGCATACCTATGCAATCACTGGTGTAGGATAGATTTCTTATATTAAAATTACCAGGCCAAAAAATACATATATTTTTAAAAGGTTAGTACAAATCACCAAATTCCATCTCAAGATGTATTGATTCCATTTCTCTAATATTGTAGGAAGGCACCTGTGCATTTCCATATTCATGTCAATAATGTGAACTATTATTTTTTATAATTTTGTGGTAAAATGGTATTTTATAGCTAGGATTATCTATATTTTGGGGGCCACAGACTTTTCTCTGATACTTTTCTATATGAGGTATTTCTTCTGTAAACTGATAATTTATATCCTTTGCCCATTTTTAACCCCTTTTTTCTTATTGGTGCGCAACGTAAAAAGACATGACAAAATATTTGTATCATATATTAAAATTTATAATTTTACATTTTTTAGGTAGCCATAATTGCAGACACAATTGTCCATCTTTTCCCTATTACTTCTGAGTTTTATGATCCATGCAGGTAGGTCTCCCATACTCAAAGATATAAAAATATCTTTCTAGGTTGTCTTTTAGGCATTATTACAGGACTTTTTTTTTTAACATTTAAAGTTTTAGTCCAATTATAATCTCTTGTGTGGATGTCATTAGGGATTTATCACACAACTATCATAAAATATTATATGTAGGCTTCCTTTTGCGTGATGGTAGCAATTCAATGCTTTGACTTAATGTCATTTCCTAGGTAACTTTCTAAAGATAATCTCCATATTTGTAACTGATAGTGGCAAAAAAACCCACCAAAACTTTAAAGATGTTTACTCGCGGTGTCCTAAACAATGATAAAAATGAAGATTGACCTTGGCAGCCTGTCCCTGGGCCGCTCCTTCCTCCTGCGTGTCTTTTTTGAGGGTCCTCGCCTCGTGTCTCCGTCCCTCCCTGCGTCACAGATGGCTGCTCTCTCCCTCTCCCGGTTCTCCCTCATTCTGTTTCTTAGCGCTCCCTTCTCAGCCGTCTATCATGTTAGCTGCCTTAGGTAATTTTAAATCTGGTTGTGTAATAGTATTTCGTAGTCTCTGTGCTTCTTACTTGTTTTGCAGCACGTTTTTAATTTACCTGTGAATTTCAGTAGAGTTGTGAAATGTATGTTAAACACAAGATCTGGAGATTTCTAAGCATTTACAGCTGAGACTCAATTTGTGTTTCTTTCTTTTTAGTACATAAACAATTTTAGAACATAAAACATATCTTTCAGGAAAAAGAAACAAACCTATTTCCTAATCACTTCATACATGCACATTTTCAAACATTTATCATCATACAGCAAATATCTGTGTTCTGCTGTTGGCCTGGGGGCATTTCCCATGTTTCTGTGTGGCCCTGTTACTGGTAATTTCACGGAGTGCCTATAAGATGGGTTGTGACATTGAATTTGGCTCTCTGCTTACAAAAAGGTGATTCTGTTACATTTACTTACCTTTCAGTTCCTTTTCAGTGAAGTAATAAACCCATCTCCCCTCACTTTTTTTCTTTTGGTAAGAATTAAACTGTGCTAAGAACACCCAGGCTCCTCAGCGCTGCTGTTCCGGCGAAGGCACACGTCAGAAGAGCGCTTTGCTGAGTGTTAAGTGTGTGAGCTCCCTGCTTCTGTAAGAAAGCAGAGACACGTGGTTCGGTTCTCAGAGGGTGGCTTCCACCAGCCTTTTATCAGTTCCTTTTGAGAGAAGAGCTCAGAATCACCACAAGGAAACGGATCCCAAAGATGAGCCTCCCGTATAAAAGTTTAGCCAGTTTCTTTCTGCTTTTCAGCTTTTCCACCAAAGGTAAGTTGGTGAGTGGGGCTTCACTGTCACTATGTTTCTTGGGACATCCTGAAATGAGCACAAGAGTTAAAGTGTTTACAGCCCAGCATTTTCTGGCAGAGTCTCAACACCTCAGTAACTGTTTTGCTTTTTTGGGGGGACTGGGGATCGAACTCAGGACCTCATACTTGCCAGGCAGGCGCTATGCCACTGAGCTACATCCCTGGCCCTGTTTTGCTTTTTGTAGGTTCAGTCCTCAAAGAACACAAGGTCATCTGGGGTGCCTTGGATCAGGACATAAACCTGGATATTCCCAATTTTCAAATGAGTAATCTCACCAATGAGATCCGATGGGAAACGAATGGCATCAAAGTTGCCCAATTAAAAGGCAAGAAACAGTATGAGTTAAACAAAACATATGAAATATTGCCAAATGGAACTCTGAAAATCAAACACCTGGGGAGAAGCTTTAACAATATCTACAAAATAATCATATACGATACAAACGGAACAAGCGTGTTGGATAAAGAATTTCGTTTGAATATTCAAGGTAAGCCTGCCCTAATTTTCTTCATTTCAGTGTGGCTGCTAGTTAACAAGTTGGGAAATACCATTTATGAAATGTCCCCCGCCCCGGCCTCTGCCTCTGGAGTAGCTCTCAAGTAAATCTAATGAATCCTCCCAATCCCATGGAGACTCAAGTCTTGTGGGTGGGAGAATGGGATTCACACACCTAGAAATGCCCAGCTAATAGAGCCTATCTATCCAGTCTGTCTGCTTGCAGCTCTCTCTTTAGGTGGCTGCAGGGCTATGGGGCTGAGGGAGAACCTCGGTGAGGGTGGTATTAATCAGAAAGGGCACAGCTGGGGAGTGGAAGTTGGCTGTCCCTGGTGGGTGATGCAGGTGTGAACCAGATGTGGGCGAGGGAGGAGAGGCTGCCTGGAGAGCAGTGAGTCTTTGGTGTGGAGAGCCTGTTTCAAGCCAAGATTCCATGGCAGGAAGGGGCTGGAAACAATGAACATAAGGATGAACAGCCTTTGTTTCTGCTCTGCTCAACATCATGGCGATTGAAGTAGAAAGCGATTTTGATTGATATGTGGAGAAAATAAACCACATGGTCTCCACATGTGCTGAGAGGGTACGAGTGGATGGTGGGGTGGAGGCGGGAGACCAACTGCAAAGCTGCTGCTGTAACCCAAGCAAGCGAGGGAGGGCCAGTAGGTGGTTCTAAACCCCTGAGAAGAGCAGGGATGCTGTTAGAAGTCACCCATGCCCAGGCCCCATCCTAGACCAGGGATCTCAGAATGTCGGGGCATGAAGCCAGGAATGCCAGCACGGGCGCAGGCCAGCGATTCGTGAGCAAATCAGCATTTTCTGTGCTTCACACAGGAAGTGTCACCAGAGGCAGGGCAGGGCCCCTCCTCCTCCCTCAGGTCTCCTGCCAGGTCCCCAGCACCTGCACCCAGCCGAGCCCCTCTCTCGCAGTCCCGACGCTGTCAGCTTATCGTTGCTGGACAGCGCCAAAATCAGGATTCAAACCCAGGGCTTCTTTCTGCACAAATGGTGACATTCTTCACTCTTCGAACAGCTTCGTCATGATATAATTTACATGCCATGCTGTTTGCACATTTAAAGTGTAAAATGTTTTTGTACATTCAGAGTTGTACAACCGTCCTCACCACATTCAACATTCTCCCTCCTCCTGAGGAAGCCTGGTCCCCATTAGCCAAAAGGGAGTGGTCTGGCTGCTGTGTGTGTGTCGACATCACACAGTTAATCCCACACTTAATTTGTGCCCTGGCCACCCTTACTTGTCTGCTCTGGATCTATTTTCCTGATACAGGCTAAGTATCCCTCATCTAAAATGTTTGGGACTAGAACTGTTTCAGACTTTGGAGTTTTGGACTGGGATACTCATCTGTCATAACTTCAAGGATATTCCATGAGACAGTGTATGCAAAAGGGCCCCAGAGTCCCTGGGACACGAGCTGTTTGGTCACTGCTGATGCCCTCCCATCTCTGTCTCCCCATGGCTATCCCAACTTCAGCCATGACACCCACATTCCCTCGTAAGGTAGCTGTCCTGTTAGCTGAAGAAGCTCAGAAAGTCCCCTTAAAAGCAACAGAGAGGGAGTTAATGCTAGCTGCCACAATGAAGGAGTTCTCGTTTCTAGGAAGGCCTTAACAATTTACCCCTATTGATCAGGTCTTGCCACTTAGGAAAGCTGTCTTACAGTATGGATAAGTGCAAAGCCATCACTACATGAGATTCATCACTGTGTTGTTTGCACTAGTAAAATACTGAAATGGATTTAGAAATCTCTAGTGGAGAAACTTACCAAGTAAATGAAGAATATATCACTTAAAAAGATGGTGGAGATATATATCTGTTGATGCTCATAAAAGAAAGAACTTTGTACTATAACATACTTCCACAGGAAGGAGACTCTCTCAGATCACCTAAGTTTTAATTTTAAAACATTGTATCATTAATATGTATGTTTATGCATAGACAATATCTTGTATCAAAATATTAATAATTATTGACTCTGGGTAGTAAAGTTGGTGGCGGTTTCTAATTTGCTTTCAATCTTTTTCATATTTTATAAATTTGAACAATTTGACTGTTTCTGTTACAAAAAAAGAATTTTTCCATTTTGAAGACAAGTAAAGACCAACCCAACCCCTAGACCATATACTACTTTGTTGTGGGTTGATGTTTTCTTCATTTTCTTAATTCTGAGTTACACAGAATTTCATAGAATTTCCAGGTGGGAGGAAGCACTATTTCTGCCGGCCTGTGCATTGGAACAGAAATGGAATTCTACTGGGATGGCAAATGGGGAGGATATTGGTGTTTCGGAAAAATAAGCTATCTGCTTACTGAATGAAGAGAGACTGTAAAGAGAAAGCTGGCAATCTAGGGAAACAAAATAACGGATGAAAAATAAAAAGACGAAAAGGGAAGGAAAGCGGTCACTTAGCTAGACCTATGGGATGCCAGTGTGGGGCTGTGGTCCTTTAGGATGCACCCTTTAATGGTTCCGGATCAGGAAGGAGAGGCGAGGAGTTCTGCCTGTGGATGTAGGAACCAGCACTAATGGTTTGCCCAGGGCTTTGCCACATGTTGTCTGTCTGGCAACAGGTGTAGAACATTTTCCTTATTCTCTGAAAGATGAAGTCCAGTGAGGCGCAGTGAATAACCTGGCAGCTCTGGGCTGGGAGAGGGCAGAGCGCGGTCCCTGGCCTCCAGGCTGGTGCCCCTCCTCCAGCACCTTGAGCTCCTTGTACACCCAGCGCTCACACCCACCTGCCCTCTGCTCCCAGAACCCTGGCAGGGGGAGGGGAGGGTGGCTGATCAAGGTTCCAGGCCGCGGATGAAATGACCCCGCCAGAGCCCTGCTCCTGGCTGCTGAGGAAGGAAGCATCATGCTTTTCAAGCCTCTTGGGTAAGTGGGGGTCAGGACAGCGATCCTCTTACCTGCATTCCTGAACATGGACTCCCAAGGGTAGGCTTCTCTCTTGATCTGCCCTTTTTACAGTGGGTACCCTACGGCCGCTCACTGAACCTCTCAGAGCACTGGATATTTCATTTATAAACAGAAAAACATCAGTCTCCCCGGTAGAATTAAGTAATAGCATGGGAAACATTTTAAAGGGTCACAACAGAGCTTTTTACTGTTACAATGTATCTGTGAACTTCCCAGAAATCACTTTGTTCTGAAGTATGTAAATAAAGTAAAATAAAAATGATTTTTGAAAATTGCTGGGAGTCTTTGAAATTCTTCCCTGGCTACAAACCGAATCCCTTCCCCACTGTCTAGATAGGATGTCTATAAAAATCAGAAAATTGCCAAATAAGAATTGGATCTTTATTTTCTTTTCAGAGATGGTCTCAAAGCCAGAGATCTCCTGGAATTGTAGCAACAAAACCTTGACCTGTGAGGTAGTGAATGGAACTAACCCTAACTTGAACCTGTACCAAAATGGGAAATATCTCAAGAAAGGTTCCAAGAAAGTCATCACATACCAGTGGACAAAACTGACTGCGGCTTTCAACTGCACAGCAAATAACAAAGTCAGTGAAGAATCCAGTGCCGTGGCTATCAGCTGCCCAGGTGCGTGGCAGGCGCGGGTCAGGATGTGCCAGGGTCCCCTCACACACAGCCTGCCAGGCCCACAGGCACGGTGGCAAGTGCCTGGGCTGGGAGGCAGCTTTGGCTTAGGGGAAGAAGTGAAAAATGGACCTCTTTCTCCTGGATACCCCCAAGGGAAGGCTTTGAGGAGGTGACACTCTCTGGCCACCCATCTTGGGAGTCTTCTGTGAATATCCTTCCCTCCCTATGGCTTCAGGGATTTAAAAAGATCCTCTTTGGGGGGAAAGAATTTGAAAAGAGATCAACTTGTGCAAACCCCTGCTTAATAAAGAGGGAAACTGAGTTACCCAAGGTCCTTCTGCTAGTTAATGACCATGACTCTGACTTCCCACCCACGTATGCTGATTTAGAGAGAGGAAGCATAGAAAGGCTGTAGACACCTGGGAGACAGGGGAGAGAAGGGGGAAGCTGGAGGCCAGAGAAGACTGCAGACACAGCAGGAAGCACTTCTGTCACATGGAGGACAGCTTGGCACTGGTACAAGCTCCAGGAAGTCCTTAAACTCTCAGGTCTCGTTCCCAGTGTCCCAGCTTGCCAGGAACCCCAGCAGTAATTTTTGAGAGGCACCCTGCTATAGTACCCCAGAGGCCAGAGGGCTAGACGTCTGAATTGGGCCCACCCAATTTTAGTCGAATAACCTTAGAGGTCTTTCCTCTCTGGGCTTCAGTTGTGTGATTCAGAAAGAAGATAGCACAGGAGGAAACTATTGGATCTACTTCCAAGCTCATATGGCAGCTCACTTCCCAAGGAGCAGTCCAAGAGAGAACAAGAATAAGCAACCAAAACAAAAGCCATGGTCTTTTTATAACTCGTCTCAGGAGTATACGCATCATCCTAAATTCTGTGCGCTAAAAGCAAGTCAGTAAGCCTGGCCCGTACTCTCGCAGCGGGGAGGACGCAGGCCTGATTCCGGGAGGCCGGGCTCACTGGAGGCCACCTGAGAGTCTGCCGGCACTGCCAGCACACAGACACAGGCCAGCACTGCCATCCTGTCTCATCCACCGTCACCAAGGCAGAGTGACAGAAGCCACCACCCTTTTCAGGCTGCCCTTGATTAGAGCTGTCAGATGTAACAGATAGAAATACAGTATGAGTATATTCCAAATATTGCTTACTAATCCACAAATTGTTCGTTGTTCATTTGAAATTCAAATTTAACTGGCTGTCCTGTTTTTTACCTGGAAATCCAGCTCTTCACATTTATTTTAACTGGATCCCACCAGTATAAAAATGTGGGTGTATTAAGGAGGGAGGGAGGAAAGACCTTGGGAAAAGGCAGGGCCTGAAGGGGGTGACATGCATGTCCCTTGTTCCATGGTACCCAGCAGGATTGGTCCTGGGAATGGCCACTGTGGAGTGGGAGGAATATTTGGGGGGAGGTTGAGGAGGAAGGGGCTATACTTTTAAGGCCTTAAAGGTATTTGGTCATTTCATTCCAAAAGACCAAGGCAGAGATGAAGCAATGACCACATTCTAACCGTGTAGCTCAAATACGGTACTTAAAACAGAATACGAGGGGGAAGGAATGGGTTGAACAAGTACTCCATCGCAGAAACTTATGGGCACATTATCTCCAAGAGGAAGTGTAGGGTGATGAATAGTTGGATTTAGAGAATGTGTGGGCCTATTTTTGAATGACAGAGCCACAGCTGCTTCTGAGCACCACCAGGAGCTCAGGGTGACACAGGACAACTCTGAGAACAGATGTGTTGGGCATTGCCTGCATTCCTGATTGCGCCAGGACAAGGGGTGGGGGTCCCATCCAAGGACTGCAGGGGAAGCCAAGCTGGCTGCATAGATTAGGCACGTGCACCCCAATTCATCCAGGTGTCCCCATCCCCCAAACCTGGGAAGTCCTCAGCGCAGTAGGAGACGGGCTCCGGCAGCTCATCTCTTTCCGGGATGGTTTGTCCAGAGAAGTGTTTCAGCTACTCTGGGACGAGCTCCAGCCTCCCCAGGTCCCAGCCCCTTGACCCCAGCCCCAGCTGCTCCTCTGTAACTGCTATTGACTCACAAAGGGCAGCAGGCCCAGCACCCCTCCTGGGAAACAGCTACCAAAAACACCAGTGCGAAGAGTGCCAGTAAAAGCAAGACTTCACATTTGTGGGTTGTTTTACAGTTTACAAAGCACTTTCACATCCATTATCTGATTGACTTCCAACAGCCACCCTGTGAGGTAGTTTTCATTGTTTCCATTGCATGAAGAAGGAAACAGGCTCAGAGGGGCAGAATGACTCTCCAAAGGCTACACAGCTCTCGCCTAGGACAGCTGGTCTCCACACCTATTTCCCTTACCACTGAAGTTGTTGTTTTGCTTGTTGCCTTCCAGGGACTGAAGGTCTAGGAACTGCAGGCCCAGGCTGCTGTTGCTAATTCAATATGCATCTGACCTTCCCTTGTGGGTTGGGCAATAAGCCTGGAAGAGGGGACTACTGTGAGTGAGGAGAAAGGGCTGCACAAGTGAAATACTCACCCTTCGTGTTTGGAAACTGCCTGGTCAAGAGGGTCAGAAAGGACGCTGGTGTGGGAGGGGAGCCAGAGAGCAGAGATGAAAAACAGAGCAGAAACACTGAGACAAAGGGCTACTTAACTTGCTAAGATCGATCCCAGCACTGGGGCAGAGGCAGGAGGATCACTTTGGGTTCGAGGCCAGCCTGGGCTACATAGTGAGTTCATTGCCAGCCTAAACTACAAAGCGAGACCCTGTCTCAAAAAACAAAAACCAAAAAACAAACCAAAACAAAACAAAAGCGCAGCTTAAAGGAATCACTCAGGGACAGACACTGTGAGGCCTCAGACAACTCTCCTGCTCTCCCTGGGCCTTGAAACTAGAGTGGCACTAGATCACCACTCAGCTCCACCGGAGGTGCTGTCCTGTGTGGGGGATGAGGGCAGGACAGGCTTTCATGAATGGCCAGGCTGTCGTAGTCTATGACAGCAGTCTCCCAGGGAGCTTTGGCAAGGGCTTAGCTGGGCCTGGGACCCCTGCAGGCATGGACACAGCTCACCTCTGCCCAGGAGCTTGGCTTGGTAAAGATCAAAAGTCCCAGTGACCTATCCAGCTGTTTCCCCCTGCCTGGTGAGAGAGGCTGGTGGGCTTGGCCAGAGCAATGAAATGACCTCTCTGTCAGGACCCCTCTCTGCATTCCGTGTCTCCCTCCTGCAGGGAAAGGCCTGAACTTCTATCTCATGGTTGGCATCTGTGGAGGAAGCGCCCTCCTGGTGGTCTTTGTGGCACTCCTCATCTGCTACATCTGCAAGCGGAAAAAGCAGAACGGTAGGAGATGCGGTAAGCTGCCCCTCTGTGGTGCCCCGCAGGCCTGAACAAATCTCCATGGAAACATCTCACTGGGATGGCACCTCAAGTCAGCAAAGGAGAGAAGATGGGCAGTGACAGAATTCAGGGCTGATACCAGAGGTGATAGCTTGTTCCATTCTGTGGTTAGCATGATTTAAAAAAACAACAACAACAACAAAACCCAAAGCAAAACAGATGCTCAGCACTGATAAGGAGGGGGCTTGGAGAAGCTGCATGGAGGGTTGCCCTGTTGGGATCCACCCGCTGAGATCCACTTGGTGTAAACTGGTGCAGAGGTGTCTGAATGGGCCACACATCTCCACGTGGGCAGAAAGATCTGCCATATACATGAGTGAACATATTGTTCATGGGTGGTGGCCTGAGGTGTGTTCAGGACCAAGCTCCGGGGAACACAGGTAAAACTGAGTCAGGCCGTGAGATAGGCACAGGAAGACAATCATTCCAAAACACGGACCTGGGGCTTCGAGTATAGTTGTTTTACAGCCCTTGCCAAGCGCCTCCGAGGTCCCGAGTTCAATCCCCAGCACCACAAACAAATAAAAGCCAAAAAAACAGGGTGACCATGTCCCTCTTTCTAGCTGACATCCAGGAGGGATGTGTTGGGGAGTGCTGATTCCCTGGAGGAGGCCTGCTTGGCAACTCACCAGGCAGGAAAGGGTTGTGCTCAGAGCGGGGAGTGCGCTCAGGGAGCCTCCAGGGCATGCAAAGCAGAAGGCATCAGGGAATGAGAAACTGGGTGTCCTTGTCAGGATGAACTGTCAGTCATTGTTAGCCATGGCAACAGGCGGGCAAGGCCCTCCGCGCTGTGCAGTGTCACACTCACGCTTGAGGCAGGCTGGAGCTCCCTTGCCTCGGGTCTCTTCCTGGTGCAGACCCAGGGACACCCACACCAGCACTTCCTGCAAGGACCCTGCAAAGTGGTAGCCAGGGGCCCTGTGCCCTTTGGATTTGGCTTCCTTCCTTCAGACGTCTTTCCTAGGTTCTCCCTCAGTCACCTCTCTAGGCTGCCACCACTCAGCCCCAAGTCTCACCACCCCACTGCCCCCCACCCCCCGTCTGGGCCTGGGAGCATCTTTGTCCCCTTAGTGCCCGTACTTCCTCCTGGAGTTGTTTCCACACTCTCCACCCTGGTGCTGCATCCCCAGGCCCCAAGTGGGTTTCGTCATCGTGTCCCACCCAGGCTGCTCTCCATCCCTGCCCTTACAAAGGCCCTTTCTCATCACCTAGTCTGATGGGACCACGTATTCTTCTAAGGTGGACCTCACATGCCAGCTAAGACAGAGCAATGCCTGCCATCACCGGGCTGAAATTATCAGCATGATAATTAGCTCACGTTGACTAAGCAGTCACTTGTGGCAGGAACTAATCTCTGTGTTTTAGAATCACTATCCTCATCCAGCTGTTAGTGATCTTAGGAGATGGACTGCATGAATACAGATGTGAAACGCAAGCTCAGTGAGGCTAGATTAGTGGCCTCAGATCTTCTATGGCCAACAGGAGTTAGGAATAGGATGAGGCAGGGAGCCTGGGCAGCAAAGTGTAAGCAGGCCCTCACCTTGTTCTTTCTTGCATGACCCTGAGCACGGGGATCTCCTCACATTTTGCACCCAATGTCTCTTGCTTGCCTCACCTTCCTCCCAGCTCTGGCTTGAGTGACAGAAGACGAAAATGGGGAAGAGGGTCCAGTGAGTCTGGAGGAATTCCTTGGCACAGATGTTAGGCAGTGGCTAAAGGCGCTGGGGTGGGCATGCCAGGGAGCCATAGTCCTGCTCTGACCAAGCAGGCTGCGATGAGCCATAGCTGGCTGTCTATCCAGCCCTGCCTGAGGACTTGGCCACTTGGTCACATACCCACTCCTGCTGCCAGAACCCACAGCGCTCTTTATCTGCACCTCTTTGGTGGCCGTGGGCTCCGGAGGCTGGCACTGTGATTTGCAGTCCTGATTCATTGCACATGCCTGATTTTGGGGTGTCTGAGTGCTTGTGTCTGAATCATCATTGCCACTTCGTAATAGTGCCCAATACCTAGAAGCTGAGGAATAAACACAGGAGGAACAAATGAACAAACTGTTGGACAATCAGACTGATCAGCAAATGGCCAACCCCAGACTGTCACCAGGGATGAGGAAAGGCCACTTACGGCCCCACGCCTGGGAACAGAGAGCAGGGGTCAAAGTCCTCATCCCAGCCTCGCCGAGTGGAACCTCAGCCACCCTGGGGAATCAAAGGTGGCACAGGGGATGTGCTCTGTTCTTTCTGTGCACCTTGTTTTATGTGCTTGGAGCAGGCAGGCCATGATTAATGGTCTTGACTTAGAGCTTCACGTTCAAAGCCGCCTGATGGATTGGCACAGTCAGTCTGCAGCCACAGGTGACACTCAGAGAGGAGCTGTACACTGGGACTAGATACCTCACATGTAGCCCAGAGGTGGCCAGAGGGGGCCTGTAGCAGCTGGGCATTCTCACAAGTTTCCTGTGTGACTTTAAAACAGCACAGGAAAAATTGCATTATGATTAGACTTGGGCCTGCCATCATGGACTAAAGTCATACAAAGCGGAAAACCCCAGAGTGAGGAGAGAGCAGTGATCTTTCCCTGCTAACCCCAAGAGGCTGGGTCTTGCTTATGAAGTTCTGAAGAACTAGTACATTTCTAAGGGCTAAAAAGCGCCCCGGGTGTACTCCAGCCTCTTGGCAGAATGTGGGCTGTGTGACAACAGAATTGGGTAAATGACAGCTCTACCTCAGAGAGCCATCAGAGGGAGCGCAGTTCCTAGTACACCCCCGTGACCACTCGAGTCCTCTCACAGTGGGCTCTGGCCACGAGCCTTGCTCTCAGGGCATAAGCTCCAGGACATGCAGAGCCAGGCACAACCCCCACCCCATGCCTTCTTCCCTTTGGCTTCCCCAGCTCTCCAGAGCTCTGGGAGCTTATTCTACTCTGTGATTTGCAGTTCTGTCTCCCCTACAAGATCCAGTGCTCTTGGAGGAGAGGGACAGCTTCTTTCCCCTCACAACTCCAAAAGAGCTAGCAGGGCACCTCACACCTAAGAGGCACTCAGTTGTTGCACAGACTGCACCTTGCTAAGATTAGCTCTTGATATGTCTTCTCGTTGCAGATGAGGGGCTGGAGATAAGCACCCGAAGAATAACCACTGAGGAAGGGGGCCTGAAGCCCTGCCACATCCAGGCCCCACCAGCTCAGAAAACGTCAGCTTCCCACCCTCCCCCACCACCGAGCCATCGTTCCCAGGCACCTGGTCATCGCCCCCTGGCTCCTGCTCACCATGTCCAGCCACAGCATCAGAAGAGGCCTCCTCCGTCGGGCACACAAGTTCGCCAACAGAAAGGCCCTCCCCTCCCCAAACCTCGAGTTCAGCCAAAACCTCCCCGTGGGGCTGCCGAACACTCCTTGTCCCCTGCCACTAATTAAAAGACACAGAAACTGTCCTCGCCAATAAAAGGCACTGTGGATTTCTCCACGTCAGCATGCAGGTCTGCTCTTTCCTCGAGTGGTTTCTACATACAGGACATGATGGCCTCCCCAGCAAGGCTCGTGGGTCACAGTTACACTAGCACCTTCCAACTCAGCCATGTGGTCTAACCCTGGAGTCTTTGGCTTCCTCTCAGATCTCTGTCACACCAAGAAGAGAGAAATGGTGTAAGTGTGATTTTAGGGTGGTGGGTGACAGAGCACAGAACACTTAGCAATCTTCTCGTCTCCTCTGATGTCACCCAAATGTGACGCCTCAGCTGGTTGCTGCCTGGGCGTCCTACAGGTGGCCGACCTGCTGAGGGTTTCTCGGGTTCCTTATGTGCCTGGGCAGGCTCTGGTCCTCCACCCTGGAGTAGACATGAAATAAAAGCTCTAACTTCACCCTGGTGTCTGCTCACTGAAGAGAGAAAGGATTTCAGTGTCCAGGAGAGGAAACTGCAGATTGAAAAAGAGGCTCACAGTTGTGACCACAACATCAGATTCGGTCACCTTAATTCACCTGAGCCCCCTGAATCCCCACCACCATGACCAGAACCTGTGCTCAGGTCTCAGCTGCCAAGCTGGGCAGACAACGTATTTGTTTTCTGTGATGCACTGAAACCTGTACACAAACCTTCCACAAGAGATACCAGAAAAGCAATCATTTGTGATTCACCCCCTTGGCTTTTTGGCTATGGTTGTAGTGCTCTGTGGAGTCATCACTGAGAAGAAGAGTTCACAAATACATCATGCACAGGGGCCACCAGACACACAAAAGGGCAGACTAAGACAACAACTCGGCTCAGTCCAATCCTAAGTGTCACAAATAACTAACCATTACTTAAAAACCAGACCACATTCCTGCTAGCAGTCACAGCAGCTTTACTTTGGGAGACATGGCAGGGGGGAGACAGCTTTCAGGTAAAGGTCTAATAATAGGCAGCGAGAAGCCGCCTGCTTTGAAGAGTTGGTACCATGTTTGTGGTCCTGTTGCCAGCCTGCCTTCCTCTTGACTTCTTAGACTTGTTAACCCTCGTAAAGCTCTGGCAGGAAGCTCTGAGGTGTAAACCACAAGCTCAGGACTTCCTGTGAGAGAGAGAGTTCATGGGCTGAACTGCTTCTTCCTCAGAATCTGGGCATCTGTTATTTCAGAACCCAGAGCTGATTATAAAGGGCAGTGAGGAATTAGACCCCAGAGCCTCCTGATATTCCAACACGGATCCAGCTGAGTAACAACCATCACTAGATCGACCCAGCAGAGTGAGGAGGGTCCCGGCACTGCTTTATCCCCATCCTGCACTGCAGTCCTGAGTGATCAGTCCCACAGACCAGCCCACAAAGAGAGCTCCTATGTCCTTCCCTTCAGAAAGCCTTCCCTGGCCATTCCAGAACTGTACCCAGCCTCTCTTCTTATGTAGGGTGTGGATCACATATAGCTTGTAAGTCTTCAATCCTTACATCAGGCTGTGTACTAAGGAGGGGGAAGGCAGACATGGTCAATTGCGTCTCTGCCTCCGAGAGTCTAGTAGGGTAGGGCTGGGCCCGTTATAGAACAGATGTAACACAGCATGAAATATATATCAGAGGCAAGTACAGGACCCCAGAGAAGGGATTTTGAATCCACATTTGGTGGTAGGACTGGGGTGACACAGAAGGCTTCTTGGAGGAGGTGACATTTTAGCTGAATTGTAGTAGGTGAGCAGAACTGCTGAGGTGGAGGTGCCGAATTATCCATGGAAAAGGAGCAGCACGAGGAAGGCCCATGCCTGCTACCCATTTACATAAGTATATGGTTCCTTTTTCAAATACTGGATTTCATTGATTTGAAGATGCTATTGATTTTACCTGGCACCATCATTGTACATAATACTAAGAAAGAAAGGACAAAGAAGGTGGGAATGGTGGTACCATCCTGAAATTTCAGCACTCTGGAAGGCTGAGGTGGGAGGATCAAAGTTGGAGCCCAGCCTGAGCAACTTAGTGACTTAGCAAGACCCTGTCTCGAAATACAAGGGGGAGGGAGCTGAGGTTGTGGCTCAGTACAAAGGGCTTGGGTTCAATGCTTGTACTGCAAAACAAAAACCAAACCTAAACCTAAACCAAAGCATGCTCAGTTGTGTTACAAGAAATTCTAAGATAACCAAGTTTTAGGGGCAACCTCATTTCTTAAATGTAAAAACATAGGAAAAAATGTTGAATTAACAAAATGCCCAATCAATAAGCTTCTTGAGAACACCGAGCATCTTTCAATACTGCTAGTAGCACTCTTTTCAGCATATCAGTCCTTCAGGCAAGTCAGTGGGTCAGGTGGCTCAGTGAGTGGGTACAATCCTGATGAAAGGAAAGGAAGTGAACATACTCAGCACCCACATAACACACACACCTGCCCTGCTACCGTCTCCACTGTGAGGAGGGTAGCGTGGGCCTTGTTCCAGATCTGCACTGTCATCTACCTGGTGACATTGTGTGACACCCATCAATCTGGTCCCCGTACGTGTGTGTGTGTGTATGTGTGTGTGTTTTGGGGTGGGGGTGCTGGGGATGGAACACAGGACTTTGTACATGGTAGACCTACTGAGTTACATCCCCAGTCCATTGTCCACATTACTTAACAACCTCCCCAGGTGATGGGCGTTCAAGTTGAAGAACCACAGGTCTATTGGTCCTCAAAATATTAATCATCAATGAACATTCAAACTTGGAGATTTTGTAGATAATGTAACATTATAAGAAAAATAAATAGAGACAGTCAAGTTAATTAATCCTTAGCAGGGAACTCTCCAATGCAAGAAAGCCAGCCATGTTGGAAAGAAATATCCAAATAATTTAGAGTACTGGAACATTTTATAAGTCATGTGACAATAGAAAAGTTTATTTCTTTGATAACCTACCTGACCACCCCAAATACCAGTCCAATCCCAGCTGCTGACCAACTTAGCTCCCAGGGGTTTCAGTTGTGACCTAGAAGCTTTATCTTAGTGCTCCTGTTGCTCCTCCTCTGTTCAACCTCTAGTACTGTATTGGGCTCCTCAGAGCTCCCCTAGGCTCCTAGGGTGCAGTCGCTCCATCTCTCAAGGTCACCAGTATGTTTTCCACCTCAGGGCCACTATACATGCTGCTCACAGTACCCGCACTTGTCACCAGCTCTTCACCTGCCCAACCTCTTTCAGGATTTAAGTAGAAGGACATCTCTGGAAAGAGACTTTCCCTGACTTCTAAACTCCAAGGTAATGTGATTCTTCTGAGCCCTTCTTGTCTTATGTGTAGTTCTGTGGTCAAGTTCTGAAGAGTAAAAGACCCATAGAAACTGGATCCAGAAAATTCGGAGGTTCTGTATTTGTTGGATTTCCCATCACTGGGAAAAAAATGCTCAACACTTGCACCAGAGTCAACTTAATTAACTCATGGTTTCAGAAGTTTCAGGGCATGGCCCACTGGCTCCAAGGAAGGAGTGTGGTGGAAAAGCATGTTGGAGCAAAGCTGCTCTATTCAAAGAGGCTTGGAAGTAAAGCACAAGGAAGAGTATCTCCAAAGGTAGGCACCTGGTGACCACTTCCTAACAGCACATTCTGCTACATCCCCATGATCTAATAACCTCTTCTGGAGTCTCAGTCTAGTCTACTTGACAAATAAGATTAACTGTCACAGTCTCTCTTTCCTGGCTGTGTCATGTTGGGTAGTTTATACAATCACTGTGAACACTGGCATACTCATCGGTAAAATGGGGATGAGACCTTACATGGTTAGACTGGGGTTAAATGGGAACAATGTACATAGTTCAACCTAGTAAATCCTACCGTGGGGAATACATATGATGACTGTTGGGTTTGGTTCTTGCTTGACATTCAAGGAGGAATACTCTGAGTAACAAATATAAATGGCTCAATTATTGGAAAAAGACACAGACTCTTAAAAGTTAATAAATAAGTACTTCCTAAGGTAACTTCATCTGCTCCAATTTAGATGCACCTGAGTCAGTTTCCCCACATTGGGTTGTATGAAACAAATGGATAAAACCCTACACCAGATGCATTCAAAGCTAAAGAACAGATGTGTGAGGCTACCTCACAAAGTCTAAACTGGCCACCAGCCTGCTGTTATGTCCCTACCTCATAAACAGAATGATCTGATAACAGATCTGGACTTGTCCCACGAGGCACCCTCTTGGTTTATTCACAGCAGCACAGAGCTAGGGGCAGGGGCAAATTTTGATCTTTTAAAAGCTGGTCCACATTACATAGCAGAACTAGGTCCATCTACTGGTCAGAGATGGCCGAAGGGAGGGGCTCACCTTAATGTTTAGGGCAGGCAGTCAGCCATTGTGGATTCAAAATATAGTCAACCAGTCCTACAGGGTCAACATGACCTGGCATGGAAGATCTCACCCACATGGACCTCGACTACACAGAGATACCCTTGGGGTGGAGGCCAGGCAGGGGTAACAGCAGGCAGGGAAATATCCAGTCAAGGATAGCAGCTTAACTCATACATTACCCTTGACTTTCCCATGAAATCTTAGCAAAAGTACATCAAACTTAATTTTGAAAAAGACGTAAACCACAAGGACAGAGAGAATAAGTTAAGAAACAAGAGCAGCACAATTTGGGGAGCTGGAAAAAGCAGAAGGAAATGTGGAACTAAGAGGATTCCAAAGGCTGAACAAACCTAAAGCAGCAATGGGGAAAACCATGATGCAAACTAGTTTCCTCCACCAAATTCTCAAAAGGTATAGGAATTGGCAGCACTAGTTATATCCAGAAGTAGGAAAGATGAAGCTAAATTGGAAAGACTGATAAAAGATCTGTTTAAGAAGCAGTTAGATTCACATTTTGTTGCCTACACCATGAAGATTGGTTACTACCCAGCAGAAGCCTGCAGGTTTCTATTCTGAGTTAAGGGATGACATACATAGTTGACAGCAGGGGACAATATTAAACACAGAAGGATTAAATACGTATTTCCTGTTGGATGTTGAGACAACTTCTACCTCACTCAGCTAACAAAATATTGGGCAGAATATTCAATATATCCTTCAGGCAGGATATTGGAAAAGACCTCTCAGCCTGAAAATCTTGCCAGCTCAAGAGGAAAAACCTAGGGTTCCTCGATGAAACTAGCCAGCTGTATGGCCATAGAGTGAATTCTTCAGTCATTCTGCACTGCCTATTCACACTGAGATTTTAGTCTTTGCTACTCTTCTCTTAACTATGAGCAGATAGTT